CTGTCACTTGAAATCTTGATGATATTCTGCTTTGCTGCTACAAGCTCTCCTTTCAGTTTGACATTCTCACTTTCGCATGCTTTGAGCTTGAGAGTGAGTTTGTCATTGATTTTAGACAGATTCAGAGATTCATCATAAAGCTTTTCGTAAGCTTGCTATAGATCATCACTGGTAATCTCATCATTGTCTTCAGATGTAGATGTTTCATCATCATCTTTTTGCTCCACATTCTTCTTGACTTCATCCAGACGGGCAACTAAGGCAGAAAAGTTGTTGGATGGTGGTGAAGGTGAATCTCTTTTTTCATGGAATTGGCTCAGAATTTCCCATGCCTCTTTAGCCTTTGTGCACTGAATAACCCGTTGCTGTTCTTCAGCAGAAATTACTCCACGAATAGTAGACAGAACTCTCTGATTGTTTGGATTGTCAACACTTTCGACATCCTCTTCAATGGCTTGCCAGCCTTCTGGATCGAAAGCTCTCAGATACGCCCTCATTCTGATCTTCCAATACAAGTAGTTGCTTCCATCAAAGGTGGGAGCATTATGCAGGTTCTGACCTCGAGCTAATTCTGCTGGCTTTGTGAGTAGTTGAGATACAGTGGACCAAAATGCGATGAAAGCACTATCCCCGTCTTCACCGGATTCAGGTTCATCGGTTTATTGCTCCGACCCGCTTTCATCATCCCAGGTCACAGTGTAGACTTTCTTTCGATTCTTTTTCGAAGGGCACTCAAGGGCAATATGACTGAACCCTTGACATTCATAGCACTTGACCCCTTGCCCCTTTACAATCTTCTTTTCAATTTTTGGAGCAAATTTTGGTGGAAAAGTTTTGGGTTTTTCATTACTCTTGTCTTTTGACATAGGGTCTCTGAAATTAGGCTTCTTTTTCTTCAAAATTTTTTTAAACAATTTAGTAAACATAGCCGTCATCTTAGACTCTAAATCAAATTCAGTTTCCGGAGTTTTTGCAGTCTCATGAGCACTAGAGAAAGCCACACTGTCTTTTTGTTTTTTCTTTGAAATCTGGTGGGCTTCATAAGTCTGCAAGTTTCCAACCAATTGATCAAGCTTGAGGGTATCAATATTCTGTGCCTCCTCAATGGCTGTCACTTTTGATTGGAACCTCTCAGGTAAGGACCTCAAAATTTTTCCAACAACTTTAACTTCCAGGATTTTTTCCCCGATTGTGAAACAGGAATTCACGATATCACTAAGTTTTGCATAGAAATCATCAAACGTCTCATCATCGCGCATAAAAAGGGTTTCAAAGGCGGATGTGAGATGTTGAAGTTTTGACCTTTTGACAGAAGTTGTACCTTCGTGAATCGTTTCAAGAATGTCCCAAGCCTCTTTTGCTACCTCACACGTGCAGATATGACGAAACTCTTCAGGTGTGACGGAGCAAAACAGGGAGTTGAGAGCCTTGCTGTTCCAACTCGAGTTTTGGTAATCAATTGTGTCCCATTTATCAAGGGATTTAGGAATATCAACACCATCAACGGTGACAGTAGGTTCACTCCACCCATAGATTACGCTGTGCCAAACTTTCTCATCGATGGATTTTAAAAACGCTCTCATACGAGCTTTCCAATAAGAATAGTTTGTACCATCGAGTAAAGGAGGTCTATGGGTCGAGTTACCTTCATGAATAGAATCCATATCACTAGTCACACAAAATCACACTCTTATATTTTTTTTAAAAAAAGAGTGACCTGCTCTGATATCAATTGAAAAACCTAAGTGATTCGTGATTAAATCAAGATTAAGATATTCCAAATCCCAAATATCCAAAACACTCAATCTAAATCAACAAGCACTTACGAGAGTGATTTAGCTTGTTTGTTTTTCGGAATAAACAATAAATCGACACAAATGATTTTTACGTGGAAAAACCACAATTGAAGAACCTCCAATTGTAATAAAAAACCACGGGCGAACTGCCACTAATCAATCCACTACTGAAGAAAGAAAGATTACAAAGATAACACACAAATTACCCAACTCAATTAATTTGTCTTCGAATCTTCTGTAACTCTTTCACCACGCCTTCGTCTCGGAACTGATCAATCCTGAAGTTGAATCCACAACTTCACTTGTCGAATTAACGACTACGTACAGAATCAAACGCCTTTTGAAACTCTACGCTTGAATCTTCGAAATCCACCGAAGAGAACTCTCTCTTGAATTTAAAGTGACAAACTCCTTGATGTATGTATCTTAGATCATGAGCAAAGAACTTTTCTCAAAACATCAAGGAAAACTCACAAAAACCTCAGAAGAAAACTTCAAACAAAACCCTAGGACTCTTGAATAAGATCTAGGAAAAGTATTCCTAAAAACAACCTAAACAGGTATAAATAAGCAACCTGAGTCTGCGATCTCCGCTCGAGCGCCCAACATCCCACTCGAGCGGCTTCAACAAAATATGCGTGTGACAACACAGTGGTCCGCTCAAGCGCGTGAGATTCCGCTCGAGCGTAAAATCACACACTCCAGTACTTTTACAGACCTGTCAAAATACTGAGAGACCACAAACTCCGCTCGAGCGCCAATGTCCCCGCTCGAGCGGGAAAAACAAAAACATAGAAAAAATAACAACTTTAAAAACACAAAGTTTTGTATCCGGAATTGACAATAAAGGGACCTAACAGGTTTTATGCTCATATTCTTAGGTTTCTACCTATTCCCTTACGGGTTGTGCTTGGGGTCTTATTTTATTTTCTTAAGCTTTTTGTTTTATGTATATTGGTGTATGTGGCTGCTATGGAAAAACATTACATTGATTGGTTTCTTTTGTGTGTGCTTCTGAACTTGGTTATGGAGGCAACCAATATGCTAGTTTTTTTGCTAAAAGATTGTTGCTAATAGATTTGCTACCAGTATGGCAGCCAGTATGTTAATAAATTTGTGGCTTCTTTGATAGGCTTGTTTTGTTTGTGCTAGCTAGTTATATATTAGCAGTTATCTTTTAGTTGGTATATTTTGTATAGCTTTGTTAGGGCCTGGGGTATTCCCCTTGTATTCTTGTAAGTTTTCTTGTTTTATTTTATGACTTATTCACCCAAAGCAAAGGTTACCAACCACAACACAACCCAACACAACTCAACTCCACACAACACAACTCAACCAAACTCAACACAACATAACCCAACTCAACTCAACACAACATACCCAACTCAACTCAACATAATTTAACATAACACAACAAAATTTAGCACAACCATTTCAACACCATTCAATACAATTCGGCATAATTCAATACAACTCTTAAACCTCCACATCATCATTTCATCACAAAGCTCGTATCATCCATATCATTAGTAATTTATGTTTGGTTTCGTGTTATAACATAATTTAAAATATCAACAATAACGGTTCAATCACAACTTTTACATAAATTTCCAAACACTTCCAAAATTTAAACTTGTATATGTTTAATTTAACACCTCAATTTCATAATACTAATTCAATTTAAGCAAAATCATCTATCTTCATAAGCCAAACTAGGGTTTTTCAGAGAAGTTAAAGCTTTTCACCCAAACACTTTTTATTCTAACTTTTCTATTAATTATACACCCAAATTCCTAAACCCATAATCATAAGCCAACTAGTAAACCCCAACATTTCAAACTGTAAACCCCTAATCTCATGATTTATCACAATATGCTTAAAAATATAAATTTTGTATTTGTATAAGGAAAAATACCACAAATCTATCTATAAATGAAAGTATTGAAAGATAACTAGAAACCCCTACCTCAATGATCAAGCAAGAAAGCAAGGCTCCAAGAGATTCCTTCATAAAACCAAAAATCCAATCAGTAGGAAGATGAGATCTTCGTGTATTCTTCACTTTTTAGTACGAGATCTTGGTCAAATCTTTTAGAAATGGAAGGTATTTGGATAAAAAATCTAGGGTTTTTCAGACTTAGGATGAGAGGAAGGAAGAGAGAAAAGAAAAGTGAAGAGAATGATCTAGAAAATCACATTTTAAGCTGTCGAATTCGCACAGTCCGCTCAAGCGCACTTGCTTCCAGCATAGATATTAAAACTTCAAAAGGGCATAACTCTCTCATCTGGACTCCGTTTTAGGTCATTCTTGTGTCCAAATCAAAGCCCAAGAAACAAGATTTCCAACGGTTCTAGCCTCACATCTAAATTCAAAATGTGGAAAAAGAAAAGGGCAAAAGAGTGATGGCTATTCATAGGAAAATTATCTGAGTCAAAGTTTTTTATCCAATCTTACTCTACCATCATGTTACCAATTCGATCAATGTCCCAAAATAAAACAAGGAGGCTCCAAACACAATATTAAAAATTTCAAGAGCAATCCCACTAGTCCCCAAAAATTCAGACTCAACTAGGCAGATCGCTCGAGCATCCAATCTTGCGCTCAAGCGAACAGACCAACAAAGCTGACCGCTCAAGCGACCACTCTTGCACTTGAGCGGAAATTCAAAACTCTCAAAATCTCAGACAGACTACAAAAGCACTGGGAACCTCACAAGACTGATCAAGCGTCAACTCTTGCGCTCGAACAAAGGAAAATTCTTTGAGGTGTTACACAAACCTCATTACAAGGCATAAGACATAGTGAGTAAATTAGGCTCGAGCAAAAACTTTGCCTAATGTACAAGTTCACATTTGAGGGTGAGATTGTTGGAATTTCTTGAAGTAAAATGGTCCCATATTGGAAGAAAAGCAAAAGAAAAGTCTTAATATATGTCGGATGGATTCACTTCATATATGTTTAAGCCTTTAAGTGGATGCATGTTTGAAATAATGTGTATTGATTCTAAGTATGGAAACTTTATGGACTCATTGGATTCCGTAACATAACTTGCATCACATGAATTACAAGCATTCAAGCAACAATTTAAATGAATTACAAGCCCCTCTTAACAAATTCAAGCAACAAAATTATTACTAGTCAATCAAATTTCAGTAAAGAGTAAATTGCAATATATTTTTTTACCACAGATACAAGAAAGCATGAAAACAAACATACAATACTATTAATTGAGATAAATAATTTTGGATACAAGCTCCATTACAATGCAAAGAAAGTAAAATTACACACCGGGTACTTTGTTTCCACCTTTATTCACTCTTCAAATCTTTAGCACACATTAGGTAAACATACCTTTATTTAGAGTAGTAGTTTTGATATTGCAGAGCAAGACAATTATTTAGAAACACAAATCATAGGAAGCATATGCCCTTGCACAATAAAATCTTAAGGTAGGCATCACATATAGGGAGCAGCTCAACATTCTTTATGGTTGACAACTACAAAAACAAAATGAAAACTACTCAATAATAATCTAGCAGTATATTTTTATAAAGGATAGAGATATCTGTATTTTGCTACATATAATGTTTGCCTTTTTGTCTTTTATTTTCATAAACAAAAAAATGAAAACTTCAAAAACACCATCATCTTCATATTGTTTTCATTTTTGCACAAAAAATAGCTTTTGAAATTTTGGAAATAACTTTTTGTTGTTTACTAAAAAATGGGATAGGTTTTAGAAAAAAATTCTGAAAAAAAGTATTCAAAACAAATTTCACAAAACATGTCTATTTTTCTATAATAGAAAATTCCTTTCAAATAAGAATTGTATTGTTTTTGGGTATAGCTTGAGGTAAATCATGAATTGTCCACTTACTCATGAGAGTTATTCCTCATAAATTCTTAATCTAGTTCAGAATCTAATTTGGATTCATCATCTTCAAGAGTAGCAGTCTGTCTTGCCTAAATAAAAAATAAAAAAAGAGAAAAGAAAAAAAAGTTAGGAAAGATTATGATAGGAAACATTCATAATGAAAAAAAAAATGTGATAAACCTGATAATATTGTCTATGCAGATGGAAAATAAGATATTTAAACAACCTATGCATGATTTTATTGGCTGAAAACTCACAACATTTTTAGATTACCTATCGATTGAATAAAGATCTTACGCAATGCACAAGGACCAAAAATTGTTCTGAGAGAGATAGCAAGTAGACATTCTTCCCCTCTTCCACTTTTTGGCGAATAACACTTTCTATCATCACTCCATGTCAGGACCTCTATCACTTTTAGATTGGTTGTACATAATTTTTTTTTTTTGGTCTTAAGAAAAATAAAATGTTTAATATAAATATAAATGTAATGTAGCACAGTTGACTTAATGACAACTCAATCATTATTAGGCCATTAAGGCGATTGCCTAAGGTCTCACTTTTGGAATTTGACAACTTGAAACCAAAAAAAAAAAAATCCCTTACCAAAACCTAATATAAAATTTATTAAGAGGCATAAAAACAAAAGAAAAAAGAAACCCATTGTTAGCATTTTCTTTTTTTTTTTATTTAAGGAAGGCATTATCTCAATCCACGAGGTCTCTTCTATCTTTATCCGAAGGCCTAAAATAAATTCATTGTCCAAAGGTTCTTATGCTAAAATTTGATTTAAAAAACTCCCAAACAAAAATAGAACTATTCAAATGGTTCATTGTAGGGAACATTACGATGTTAGTAGTTGCTAGAATATTAAATAATTTATCATCTCAAATTTTTTTTTAGATAGTCAAAGGTGTTTGATAATAAAGACATAAATGAACATAAAGTAAAATTTCTTTATCCATCAACTTAACTTAACACTTAAAAATAAAAGTAACACTCTAGGCACGAAAGAGGACAATATATTAAATTTTAACTAAATAATAAAAGAAAACAATAAATTTTATTAAAAAGTGTAATCTATATAAAAATAAAATAAAAATGTTATTGAGTGTAATAAACGTCCTCTCTATGCACAAAATTCATGCACAATAACATACCTAAAAAAATAATGTGGTTAAGATTCAACTCTTATGTAGTAGGGTCTACATTTTGAATGAATTTCGAGCGTATATTAAAGTTTTTGAGCATTTTTAAGTGTGCAAATAAATTTTGTGTATGTAGTATTGCTCTAAATATAATTCAAAATTATTAGAGATCTCTAATTATCTATAAACTAAATTATCAACTACTCACGACGAGGAGAAGCTGATAATTTGATTTGTAGTTCATTCAAAAACGCAATATATCATGAATTTTCATCTTAAAATAGAACTATTTGAATGCTTATAAATTCCAAGCATTATAAGGAGTACTACCATATGAGTGGTTGCTAGAATATTAAATAATTTATTATCTCATGACCAAAGGCGATTTTGTTTTTAGATAGTCAAAGGCCTTTGATAATAAAGGCATAAATGAATATTCATTGTAAAAGGCCAATAAAAAGTAAGATTTCGTTATCCATCAACTTAACTTAACACTTAAAAATAAAAATAAAACTCTATGCACAAAAGAGGATAATATATTAAATTTTAACTAAATAATAAAAGAAAACAATAAATTTTACATTAAAAAGTGTAATCTATACAACAAAAATTAAAAATGTTATTTGAGTGTAATAAAGGGCCTCTCTATGCACAAAATTCATACGCAAAAATATACCCAAAAAAATAATAATATGTGTTTAAGATTCAACTCTAATATAGTGAAATCCACAATTTGAATGAATCTCAACCATATATTAAAATTTTTAAGCATTTTTGAGTGTATAAATTTTGTGTATGTAGTATTGCCCTAATTTAATTTAAAATTATTAGAGATCTGTAATTATGTACAAACTAAATTATCAACTATGAGGAGGAGTTGATAATTTGATTTGTAGTTTATTAAAAAATACAATGTATCATGAATTTTCATCTTGAAATTTTCTCCGAAACTGAAGTATATGATGTAAATTTAAAATTAGTTCGATATGAATCATACAAACACAATGAATATACATAGTCCATTGATTTTTACTAGTTTATTAGTCAAGGACCCAATTTAATTTACTTTATTTTATTTTTTTTAAAGAAAAACATTGCCTCATAATGTAAGTAATTATCTTTTATATATATATATATATATATGTATGTATATATGTTAAATGTGGTAAAATAGAGAAGTACCTTAGGTGGCTTTGAAATGATATGGGTTTGCACAAACTGATTCAAGTCCATCCCCTGTAGCGGTATCACGGATTTATCCAATTCAACTTCCTTCAGTTTTGGTGTGCTGGCGGAAGTGGTGGCAGCGAAAGTCTTCATTTTGGGGCAGTCTCTCACATCAAGTATTTCCAAGGATGGCCATTCAAAAGGAAAGTTGTCTCCTCCCGTGCAGAAACCACATAGGTTTGGAAGACCCATAAGGTGGAGTTTTTTGAGACTTTTGAACACCATCTTGTAGTCCACACTCTTTTCTTCGTCGTGCCTTTCGTTTTGCTTGGTTGCAACAATTTCCTCAATTTCTTCACACATGTATACCGAAAGCTCTTCAAGTTGATGAAGAGCTTGAGCTATGGAAGGTTGGAAAACATATTTCAGTTTGCCACATGAAAAGACATACAAATATCTTAGGTTGCTAAGTTGCACATGTTGACGACTGGAGCAGTTCAATATATGCTTCAATCTAGGCAAGTCAATTAGATCTAAACTTCTCAAACTAGAAAGCAGCTTCATGCCTTCTCTTTCAGAACCAAAATCAAATACTTGTTCCAATTTCTTGCAACCTACTACCTCAAGCTTCTCCAAATGTTGTAGCCTTTGAAGCAAATTGAATGGAAGAAGAACATTTGATAGTTCAGGACAAAAGGAAACTCCCAAACTTCTGAGCTTTGGGAAGCACACCCAGCTGGAAGTAGTAACTGCACTTGTTGCACATATCCCTTTGAAACTATCCAAATGCTGGAGTACCAATTCTTCCAGGTTGAAGAGCAATTGCAAATCACGTGGTTGTGCCTGTGATGAAATCCCCCATTCCTCTGCGTTGATCAAGTATTCGAATTGACGACAATCTTTAATCCTCAGATGTGTAGCTCTCTTTAACACCATCTTTAGCCATTTACTCCAATTAACCATGGGTCCAACCAAATTTCCAAGTTCCAAATGATTTGGAGAATCATTTTCAACACTCGGCCACGTTCTCGATTTTCCGATAAGAATAATAAAACTATCCAACTCAGGAAAAACAAAGTCCTTGGGTATATACGCAATGTCAGGTATGGAAATGGTTAGCAATTTTAGGCGAGGCAAAGATCTTAGTACAACAACTACTTCCCCTGCAGGGTATCCGATACTTGAAGATGTGATGTCAAACAAGTACAACTCCTCCAAATGGGATAAAGGCAATACCATTGCGGCCGGAATCAGAAATTCATGACGGCTTTCAGTCATGTCCAACAACCTTAGATTAGTTAATTCCCTTATAGCATTTGGTGCCTCAGAAAAGAAGGCACGCCTGAGGCAAAGAACTTCAAGTGTCTTTAACTGTCCAAGAAATTTAGTGTCCCCAAACTTTATTCCTTCAAGAACTAATGTTCGAAGACACGTTTGGTTATTGAAAGCATCAACATTACGAATTGGATTATCAAGATGAGAGTAGAAGTGTAGGCTCCAATCTAAAACACTAAGTGCCTTCATCCATGAAAAGAATTCATGTGAACATGACCATGCATTTTCATTGTCTTGTAATAGTAATATTTGGAGCTTTGGACATTCTAAGATCTCAGGAAGATTACTGATTTGATTTCTCATCAATGATATGCCAATGTATTGATCCAAACTATCGATCTTTGGCCAATCATTCAAATTGCAACCAGCTCTTACAAAATACTTTTCGGATCCAATATCTATGGCAACATCACGTACAACATCATGCATTTTGATGCAATCTTGTTTATCACCAGCTAATAACAAACAGGAATCTATGAGATTTTTGATCACCGACTTTGCTCTGCCCCTGGCTTCACTCACTGTATCAACTTTTTTGAATACCCTCAACCCCATCCCATATCGTACCAAGTCTTCTATTAAGATGTTATGATCCTCAGGAAATAGAGAACAAAGCAAGAAGCAAGCCTTGGCTTCCTCACCTCGCAGGTCATTATCCTTGCTCAGGTAATCATAGCTGAACTTAAGACTTTTGTACACTCGTTGATCAACATCTTCAATGTTTGTTGGCATTGATTTTCTCAATTCTTGAGCTGCTTGGTTCCATGAATTAAGGTCATCTTTATTTTTCATTGCGATTCCAACTGTAACAAGTGCTATAGGCAGGCCTCCACATTCTTTACAAACCTCATTAGCGATAGCATTTACCACATTAGAGTCAACAACATTGCCAGCATTCTTTCTGAACAAATCCCATGAATCTTCTTCAGATAAAACATCAAGATGAACAATCTTTATCCTCTCCCTTTCCATTCCCATGGAACTGCATACTTGCTCACGTCGTGTTGTGATTATGATTTTGCAACCCTGGTGATCATTGCCAAATGGAATGCCCACGTCTGCCAAATTAAGTTTGGCCCAAACATCATCCAATATAACAAGGATCTTCTTCACATCCTTGAGTCTTGCACGCAACATGCTTGCTCTTGCAATTTCACTTGGTTGATTAATTAAGTTGGTGAAACCCAACATGCCAGCTATATCATCTTGAATCTTTTTATTGTCTTTGTCCTGAGACACTACAGCCATCACAACTTCATCAAAAAGCTTATCAGATTTTGCTTTTTTGGCGATTTCTTTTACCAAAGTTGTCTTTCCAACACCCCCAATACCATGTATTCCAATGAAGTTGATCTTGTCATCAATTAGTGCCTCCATTACATTCGTCATTGTCAAATTTGTAGAAGCATAAGGCGCAAGTTGTTCAGAGGGTATGGACTCTATCCCCAAGGGAGGTGCAAGTTTGGATATGTTGTTATTGAATGTGCCTTCTTTTCCCAGCTCTTTAGCCTCCTCTGCTTTATTTTTTGCTACCTTACCTAGCCGGCCTCGTGTGACCAAATCAGGAAACCACCCACTGAAACATTTCTGGTTCACATTGGTACCACCTTCAAGAAACTCATTAGCCTCAAGAATGAACCCATTAACTTTGTTAATCCAATTCTTGACACTTTCTAGAATTTCTTCTCTGTTCCTTTTTGCTGCATCGATGGAGTCGAGCACATCTTTTCTCTGAGCCTCTAAATTTTGAACTTGCTCTCGTAGATTTTCAATGTATTTCACTCGAGAGAAGATATAATCGAATTGACGCCCAGCTGGCTCCACCAATAATTCAACAACTTTTCCTCCAATGGTGGAAATCAGAGCATCGTAGACAGCCATAGCCATGTCTGATAACAAACAAAGCAATACTTAATAAATAAATAAATAAATAATATTGCACTATTGGCAGTAATAACTATTTGCATGCTTGCTGATAAAATAAATAAATAAATGGGAAGTTGCGAGCCAGTCCTTTATTTATCAAAAAAGTCCTACTCTAAATTTCTCTATAAAAATATTTATAAAAAAATATAATTTAACTATTTATACTTTGCACATCATATTTCAATATGAACTAACACAAATAAATTAAAATAAATCAAAACTCACAAATAAAAACTCAAATAATTTTGGTTATGACTTGGTTATCACTCATTGTAATGTTAGTTGTGATTATTGTTTTGGTTATGACCAAAAAGGTCTTTAGTTATTCCTTAAGTGGTATTTGATTATGACTTATTAAGTTTTTTAGTTATGACTAACACAAATATCATAACTTGTATATGGTACACACCAAAGAAAAATGTGTATTGTAGAATAATCCTACCTTTTATAATAAACTCGTAAGTAGATACATATTGATATACACAAACATAATTCAAATGAAATTTATAAAGTATGATTTTCAAAATATATACTTATATTTTATATCGTGTATTTTATGGGTTAACTACTAGTAACATATCATGAACTTTATGGGTGGGACAATTTTTACCCATCTTTGTTAGTTGAGAGAAAAGAATAATCTACTTGATATGTTTTGGAATTCTTTATTTGTTAAGAATACCACATAAACAATATCAAAAGAATCTCTAATACTACCTAATAATTTTTCAATATGTATATATTAGTGTATGTCCGTGCTTAAAGGCACAGTGTAAATAATAATTAGATCAAAATGTAATTAAATATAAAATTATTGGATTAAAATATAATTTATTTAATTTGTTACTAAAAATTTAAAATCAAAATATGAATAGAAATCTAATTAGTTTTTCAATAAAATAATTTATATGAATATAAAATAGTCCATATAACTATAGATTCAATTTTAGATTTATTCAATAATAAACATTTATATAATAAATCTTTGAAAAAGATACTCAACAGAAAGAGAGAGAGAGAGAGTGGAGAGACTCTACTCTCACCACATTATACTTTTTTTAAAAGAGAGAGTGGATATAGCACTAGTATCCTTTAAAGTTTTTGGGAAGTTTGTTTAATTCTCTTATAGGTTGTGTTAGTGTTGGATTATTTTAAATACGAATCCGATATGACACGACATGATACGGCACGATTCCCACTCCTAACACTATTTAGTGATTCCTTTTAAGTTTCAAGGTTGTTTTGTTGTGTGCAATGTTATTGTTTTCTATTAAAAAAATTAAAAACTGAAAGAACAAAAATTCATTTGGTTAAGGTAGTGTTGGTATCATTGTCAATACAGGAAATAGTTTTTTTTTTAAAAAAAAAAATTGTTTTGTTTTGAAAAAAATAATAAAAAATAATGTGTAATACATAGTTTTTAAATAAAAATAATAATAAGAAAACGTATTTAATGAGTTATTGAATGCTGGGCATTGTAGGAAGGGGGGAGAGGGGATGCGAACAATTTTTTTCGAAACAAATGAGATGTCTTTTTTCTCTCCACAAATTTTAAAAACTATTTCAATTTTTAGAAACAAAAATGAATACAAAATGTACTTTATTTTTCAAAACAAAAAATGAAAACAGAACAAGACAACTAGACAAGAATGTTTTCATGCCAAAAACAATAGCAATAATATTCAAAATTTTGAGGGGGAAAAAATTGGTTTTTGTTTTGGTTGGTGCCTCACCAACTTTTAATGCAATGCTAGCAGTTGATTGAGCTTGTTTTTCGGTGTCAATCTAATTGGAATTAATTAGTTTTGTTTTGATATATTAGCCCTGTTTGGTAGAGCTGTGGGAAAGTGCTTATAGCTTATGTCTAAACAGCTTATAGCTTATAACTTTCAGCTTAAACTGATTTCCAGCTTATTCTTAAAGCATCTCTTGCCCCACTCAAAGAATAAGCTGATTTTTGACTTCCACAAAGCTATAAGCTATAAGCTATAAGCTAAACCAAACACATCAAAATAGCTTAAATTAAGCTGAAAGCTGAAATAAGCTGTAAATAATTTCTGCCAAACAGGCACATTGTAGAGTCTGTTTCTTTTATTGATGCTCATGCTAGTATTTCATATACATTGGTTTTCATAATTAATGTTTCTCTTTCATTGATAAAATAATTAAAACAAGGGAGAAATATATGCCAGTGAAACGGGGAAAAAAAAAATTACATAGATGCAACTCACACTTGCACTCCCCATATTTAAAAAAAATAAATAAATAAATAAATAAATAAAAAATAAATAAATTGATATTCTACCCTACATTGTTATTTCCCCTAAAAAAAAATTGAACTCATGTCACAACACTAGAATAAAGATGGTGCTTGTCATCACACCAGATCACCACCTATTAAAACTATCTACACCTAATTTAGTCTCTATTAATTAATAGGGTTAGTGATACATAGAAAGAAAAACTAGATATAAATTCACATTTACTCATTATATAAAGGATCGTGTATTATATATAAGTTCTGTTATTTCTGAGATTAATTATTACAAATATTATAACTAGATCTTTTTTAGTTATGATTAAAAAAATAAGTCATAACAAAACATTACATAAGGTACGTATAATCAAAAACTTTTAGATCATCATGATCACAACGAATTATAACTAATAGCATAACAAATTATAATAAAAATCCATAAAACAATAATAACAATAACAAACGCACATCAACAAACACACATTGAAGCTGATCCCATATAACAATAATGCGTTGTATATGATGCATAAATTAATACACACACAACCGTGTCCATAAAAAATATTATGGCATTATCATGATGTACAATGCAATTTTAGTAGCTCATGCTAACAGACATTCAATTAGCTTTGCATTATGAATAGAATAAGAAATAGTAGACTACATTTATTTATACAGTGTTTGAATTATGAATTTGAATAGAAATTTGAAAAGAAAGAAGAGAAATAGAAGAAAAAAAAATTGAACTTATATTTCATTCATATTTGTCTCATATTAAGTCCTTATCAAAATTTATAATCTAAACACAGTCTAACACTATTGAAAAGGAGAAACTAGAAATTTAAGCGTACCTTTTTTTTGTAAACAATTATACGAGGGAAAGAGAAATGGTTGCTGAATGGAGATAGAGATATAGATGGAGATGGAGACGGAGACGGAGACAGAGATGGAGACCTAAACATTCTATAATTGAGAAGTGGAAAGCAATTCTTTTCTTGGTTTGATCATTGATGTATGTGGCACAAATGTTTGATGCTTTGCTTCCATGGATTAAAGATGACAAAGGATATATACTAGCTCCTTTTTCTTTTGCGTTTTCTTCCAAAAGATTTTCTTGCCTTGAGAAAAATGATATTCTTTCCTTGATAAGTCAATAAATCTTCACCATCAACTCAACTACAAGTTTAAGTTATTAAATAAAGAAATAATTTTATTATTTATATTTTTGATATATCCTTCACATATAATCAAGCTTTTTTATAAGCGGATTAAATATGTGCAAATTTTTTAGTTATTTAAGTAAATAATAAGGTTCGAACATACGATTTATTCTCTTATCTAATAATAATAATAATAATAATAATAATAATACATTATTTAAAAAAAAAGAATAGTTTGATTTTTTTTTTGATAACTCGATATTCGGTCCACTAGACCGACTAATTCGGGAACCAGTCTCACCATCCATTAGTGGGAGCCCCAATTAAAGCAAGTGCGGATTTGCTAAAGTTGTAGATCTCAACTTCATAGGTAAACTTGCCATATTATAGGACTAATTTATACTCATGTAAATGATCTGAATCGTTAATTTCATATGACATGTCGAGAAAAATATGTATGCAAAAAATTAGTTTAATCAGACATAACTAATTACATGATTAAATCATATATATATATATATCATAATAAATAAATGATCTATTTTTAAAAATATGTTGACTGTATAGATAAAAATAATCTAATAATATGACAATCATTTACGATAAGCACCTCTTGTCTTCCCTAAGTATCCATTGGACGAGAACACAAAAAATAATCACTAAACCCAATTCTCAATTAATTACTCTGTCCAAAGATGACCTCTTCCCACTTTTTTAATTCTTGGTGGAACAAGACACATGACACAACAAGGATTGCTAATTTAGTCATATAAAACATATATATATATATATATAATATAGTTGCCAAACATTTACGACGTGAAGGATATATAAGGGGAAGTGAACAAAGTAGTTTTTGCTAGCTCTATCAAACTAAGTTTTTAATTGATTGGAATAGGAGAGACAGAGTTGAAAAACAAAAAACAGAGTTTCTTTTATAGATCATGAGTGCTGCAAAGCCATATTGTACAATACAATCAAGTAAATCACACAATGTACAATTTGGATGCCTAGTTCATGTTAGAAAAATGTTATGCATTAACATTACCACATCCTAATAGTTTAGTCAACAAAATTTAATACCAATTAATTTGGCAAATTTATTTTCATAAATCTTTATAAATAAGATTAAAGATCCAAATACTAATCTTCAACAGCCACATGCTATCAATTACACAAAGTAATGGTAAATTACATATGCAACAATTCACACTGTTTTCTTAATATTTTTAATATAGTCAGATAATAAGAAGAAAAAAATTTACCAAAGATTAAGATTTTTATTTTTATTTTTATTTTTATTAAACACAAGCGGACAACAGAAAATAATATTAAGCCACACGTAAGCCATTAATCTAAAGAATACCATGTACTAAAAACCTCAAGGTACAAATTTAGAATATGAATTTTAATTTGACAAATAATGAGTTTTATTTTAATCTTTAAAATAAGCTCAACACATTTTATAAAACTATTACTTTTAATAAATATTGTTTTTGACAAGACTAAACCCATTAACATCTCAACGTATATACAAGAGAGGAAGAAAGATAAACATAGATAATGAATCATCTTAATCTAAGCTCCAGTCATACATATTCATAACAATAGCAATTTTAAACTTATTATCCTTAAGCTCTCTAATCACAGGGGGAATTCAACTGGTTCTTTCACCATACTCTTTTCTATTTTTTTTTTTTAACTGAAAAATCTTAAACAAAATTTCTTTTTAGAACACAACAGCTTTAGATTGTTAGAAAAATATTATGCACTAATATAATTTAATTAATAAAATGATTAAGAGATGTTGTGAGCACTTGGCTTGTATTTTCGAACTGTTGCACTGCAGTTGTACCTTCACGGGGAGAGGAACAATGGCTTTAGGGCAGTGACTACACGCCTCTCAATCTCACAGGCCAACCCTTTCTTATTCTAGATGAATTTACTAACTTTCATATTTCATTTATGATAAATCTCTTAATCATTTTATTAATTAAATTATATTAGTGCATAACATTTTTCTAATAATTCAAAGCAAAACTCAATGAAAACATGACCTTTATTTGAAGAAGCATTCCTCCCCAGAAGCAGCATGTGCTTTCTGAAGGAGCATTAGATAAATATTTTAAATCAATTTTTGTGTTTGAAAAAATCTTTTTTTTTTTGGTGGATTCAATACGAGATTTTTTTCTTTCTTTCTTTCAATAATTTAACATATGGGACCTCTTGTACCTCATGAATGACCATCTTATGATCTGATAAAGCATCACATCTAGAAACCTTTACTTGGGAAGGAATGGCTACTAAGAATTTCAATAAATGAACTATGACATTATAACCATCCATTGAATGTATAACTTTGGTTCAAGCAAACTGAATTTCCACATATGGTGCTAAGTTGTACAAAGTAAAATCAGTGGCATATCCCGCAAACTGAATTTCTATGGATTTCTTGAAAATCTTATATCTTTAGTTCACGACAAACAAAATTTGGAGCCAAGTCATACAAAGTAAAATTAGTAGCATATCCAAAGTGTAGCAGATGAATAGAATTATCCAAAAAAAAAAATCAGCACGCTGCACTAGTGAGGACAACCATTTATCTCATAAGCATTGAATTTCCAACAGCAGATTGGTATCAAATATTCACACACACACACACACACACAAAAACAAAACAAAAAAAACAAAAAAAACAAAAAAAAACAAATCATAGCTTACGAGCAAAATTACAAAAACCTTCAACATATAATGTTAAATACAGTGCCTAAATGACAAATACTTATGCTCTTGCATCTTTCATTAGCAAACCATTGTCATTAACTGACAATAAGTAGATAAAATTTGGGCATGACTCACAAGAAAAGACTCTTTTTGTTTTTGTTTTTGTTTTTGTTTTTGTTTTTGTTTTTTTTTTTTTTTTTTTTTTTTTTTTGTTTTTTTTGTTTTTTTTTTTTTTTTTTTTTTTTTTGGGATAAAAAACAAGAAAAGACTCTATGTAGACACCCCATTTTAACCGACCCTAAGACTTGGGCTCTTCTTTTTGATCACCCAATGATGAAAATAAGAAAGTGTTTCTCACAGAATCCTCAATAAGAAAACTAGGTATTTCTCACAGAATCCCCAATAGCCCTGTTCCAACCCTAAACAGCCAAAAATTCCCTTTCCAAAGGAATATTCTGACCTCACGGTTGCATCCAAAATGGTTCGTTTAGCTAGGATCAACCTTCGATGTACTTCTGAGGGCCTCACTAAAAAGTTCTCCCGAAATCTGGGTTACAGCACAATTATTTAAAACTTCTAGGCCAAATTGTAATTTTTAAAACTCAGGGAATATTCTGTTAAGTCAAGAATATTCCATCCATATATAGAATATTCCGTCAAATGTTGACTGTGACACTGACGTGGCATAACCGGATTGGTACTTGCTGATAATGTGGCACTGACATGTCTTTACCCAAAAGAAAAGAAACAAAAATGCTGGTGAAGGGGTCTGCACTCCCAACCTAAGACTCCATATCCTAAACCTTAATCACTATGCCAAAGAATCACCTTATGTTATATTTCCCCTCAAATAATATTTGACCATTTTAAACCAACAGGTAGAGAAGGTGTATTTTTGCATTTTTTTTTTTTTTTTTGTGTGTGTATGGGACACTCCCCTACCCCATTGGCCGACCCATATATCACCAAATACATACCTAATCATTCCTCATTGTCAAAAAGAGGTTTTGTTTGCATTCATAAAGGAGTATCCCATGCAACCACTTTGAAAATTCATCCCTCATCTCATTCCTTGTCTACCACTTTGTCTCTCACATTCTTTTTGATCTTAACTCTCCTTCATTGCCTATATAGAATGATCAGATTGCAAAAGAGATGGAGGATCACGAAATTGAAGAGAAAAGAGTGAGAAAAAGAGAGAGAAAAAAAGAAGAAGAGAAAATTCAAGTTTTGAGCCAAAAACACTTCCATCTTCCATATACACCTTCCATGGCTTATACACACTGAAATTCCACCTTTTATACATCCAAAACAACTCCAAAAATTATAAAATAGCTAAATTTCAGTAGTGATTGATCAAAGGAAAGACCCACTGTGTCATCTCCAGTGTTGAAAGTAAGGAAAAATAATAGAGTTTGCCATTTTTCCACTACACGTACCCACAACTACATTCTAGTTTCGAATTGAGGATTGAGAGCACACTTCCTAAACTTGAGGGTGATCAAGAGGAAGTTTGGAAACCAAGAAGTTCAATCTTTCTTTGAAAGGTGAATTTCTAGTCTTTCATATTCTTATATTTTGTATCTCATATTTATTTTCTTGCTTCTTATTTCATAGTGTTTTGTTATAATCCAAGTGGTTTGTTTATCTGATATTTATTTTCTTACTTTATATTTCACAGTGTTTTGTTATAATCCAAGTGGTTTGTTTATCTCATATTTATTTTCTTACTTTATATTTCATAGTGTGTTGTTATAATCCAAGTGGTTTGTTTAGCTCATAATTATTTGTCTATTTATTTATTTTTTACTTATTTGCTTGCTCTTGTTTCATATTAGTTGTGTTGTAAGCTAATCGGTAATGGTTAGTTGAGTCACCTACATATTTCTTATTTGTTCATTTTCTTGATTTTGCAACAAGACAGGTTTTGCTCAGCCTAGTTGGCCGGCTAATTAGCTTCTTTTGGACAAGATGGCATAATCTCCCAATGTTGACCTATTTCCGCCGACGGTTCCAAAGAATATGAAGCTTTTTTTTTTATTTCTTTTTATTTTGAGTGTTTTGTGAGGTTATGTTTTATTTTATTGTAATATTCCCTCATCTCTCTCTCTTTCTCTCTCTCATTTGATTTGTAATAATTTATTCAAAATGTTGTAATACTTTCCCGCCACACTTCTTTCTATCCCGTTCTTTTACTTTCTTTCCTTATTTGTGGATATGCTTTTTTTTTTTAAAGTATATCCTTGTTGTACATCCATGTCTCATGCATCTCGATTCGGCTAATTTTGCATTTGTGGATTTAATCAATTTCTATGTGATTATTCCCTCATCTCTCTCTCTCTCTCTCTCTCTCTCTCTCATTTGATTTGTAATAATTTATTCAAAATGTTGTAATACTTTCCCGCCACACTTCTTTCTATCCCGTTCTTTTACTTTCTTTCCTTATTTGTGGATATGCTTTTTTTTTTTAAAGTATATCCTTGTTGTACATCCATGTCTCATGCATCTCGATTCGGCTAATTTTGCATTTGTGGATTTAATCAATTTCTATGTGATTATGTGCGCTACCTCATGTTCTTAAGATGATTCACATGTCATACCTAATAAGCCGAATCTTTAGTTGCTTCTCATGTGTGAATTGCATTCGGATTTTGTATATAAGATCATGCATTTTTGCTAACTTCGTTTTGTAGCTATTCGCTGGACGTCGGTAAATATGTAAGTTTTTATTCTTTAGCATCCCCCTTGTGTATGTCTTTCTTACTATGTTTAGCATCCTACCAGGAGGCTATTTGCTTATTTGATATTGTTATGAAAGTAGTGAGAGAAGAGAAAGAAGAAACTCTATATTGAATTGAATGAGTAATACGATAGGAGAAGCCTGTATATATAGGCAGAAAGTAAACCTAGATAGGTACAGAAAATATAGAAATAAGCATAGAAGGAGATAGAGATTGAGAGAGATACAATACAAATAGATAAGATACATCTATAATAATATACAGCTAACACCCCCCCTCAAGCTCAAGGTGGTAAGTCAGATATCAATTTGAGTTTGGAGAGGAGATTAGAAAAGCGGCCTGGAAGATGAGCTTTGGTGAAGAGGTCGGTGGTCTGATCAGCAAAGGTAACAAAGAGAAGACGAACATGGCCACTAGTAACATGCTATCCTATGAAGTGGCAATCGATCTCAATATGCTTGGTGCGATCATGGAAGACATCGTTATGGGAAATCTGAATAGCACTTTGATTGTCACAATAAAGATTAGTGGCAGCTGAATGAGAAACACCCATGTCAGAAAGAAGCCAACGAAGCCACACAAGCTCCTGAGTAGTGTCTGCAAGAGCACGATACTCAGCCTCGGTACTAGAACGAGCAATAAGGGTTTGCTTCTTGCTACGCCAGGAAATGAGAGAGGTGCCCAAGAAGAAGCAGAACCCAGTAGTGGAACGACGATCGGTAGGATCCCCTGCCCAATCAGCATCAGAAAAGGCATGCAGCTGTAGAGAAAAGTGAGGGGAATAGTGAAGACCATGAAACAAAGTTCCTTTGAGATATCGCAAAATGCGAACCAGAGCAGCATAGTGTGGAGAGCGAGGAGCAGTCATAAATTGACTGACAATGTGAACAGCATAAGCAATATCTGGACGAGTAACTGTGAGATAGACAAGGCTACCAACTAACTGACGATATAAAGTTACATCTGACAATAGGGGTCCGTCAAGAGGTGTAAGACGAGTCTGAGGATCAACTGGAGTAGTGACAGTCTTGCAATCGGAAAGGTTAGCACGAGCCAAAAGATCAGAAGTATACTTGGCCTGAGTAAGAAAATAACCAGAGGAATCTTGAGAAATTTCCAAGCCAAGGAAGTAGCTAAGGGAACCCAAATCTTTCATCTCAAATTGGCGATGGAGAAACTGTTTGAGACTAGAAATACCCACTGTGTCATCTCCAGTGATAATCATATCATCTACATAGAGGAGAAGGAGAATAGTACCGCGCTCCGTCTTACGGATAAACAAGGCAGAATCATGGGCACTGGAAGAAAAACCAAAGTCACGAATGGTAGAGCTGAACTTGGCAAACCAGGCACGTGGAGCTTGTTTCAAACCATATAAAGCATGGCCGAGTTTGCAAACCTTGTTTGAGGGAACAGAAGAACTAGGAGGAGGTTGCATATAAACTTCTTCAGTGAGATCACCATTGAGAAATGCATTCTTGACATCCATCTGAGAAAGGTGCCAGTGGCGAGCAGCAGCAACGGCAAGTAAGCTGCGAACTGAAGTAAGACGGGCAACAGAAGCAAATGTTTCCTCATAGTCAATTCCATATTCTTGACTAAATCCCCGGGCGACAAGGCGAGCTTTGTAGCGCTCAATAGAACCATCAGAATGAGTTTTGATCTTGTAAACCCATTTGCAACTAACAGTACGCTTACTAGGAGGAAGATCAACCACATCCCAAGTATGAGTTTAATTGAAAGCCTGCAGTTCATCAGTCATAGCTTGTTGCCGCAGAGGGTTAGAAGAAGCTTCTTGATAAGAAGTAGGTTCATGAGAGCAAAAAGCAGTGGAACCAACAATATAATCACGGAGAAGAACAGAAGGTTGCCTTACCCGGGTAGAATGACGCTCAGGTGAAGGAGGAACCTTAATGGAAATAGGTGCCAGAGAAACCTCCACCGGAGCCGGAGAAGGCGTAGGACCATCAGCTGACATAGGATCCTCAGGATGGACGATAGGCGTAGGCAGCTGTGGAAGCATGGGGCTAGAATCTGCATCAAAGTCATCAGAAAACAAATCTAGAGAAATATCAGTGAAGACCGGTGAGTGGGTGGACTGTGGTAGGTGAAACTTGGAAAGAGTGGAGAACATTTTGTGTTCCCAGAAGACCACATGACGAGAAATACGAAGACGCTTGGAGATAGGATCCCAACAATGATACCCTTTATGTTCGATACCATACCCCAGAAAACAACAAAGACGAGAACGAGGTTCTAGTTTAGTGTGTTTATGAGGCTGAAGTAGAACAAAACAAGCAGAACCAAAAACTTTAAGAGTGGTATAATTAGGAGGAGAACCATACAAACGCTCGTAAGAAGTTGTGTTAGCTATTACAGGGATAGGGACTCGATTGATGGTATGGATGGCAGTGAGGGCAGCTTCCCCCCAAAATTTTTCGGGACAAGAAAAAGAAAGGAGAAGAGCCCGAGTAGAGTCTAGAATATGATGGTGCTTTCTTTCAGCTCGTCCATTTTGTTACGAAGTGCTTGCACAAGATCGATGAGAAAGAGTACTATGAGCCCGAAGAAAAGAAAGAAAATCAAAATCCAAGTACTCCTTAGCATTATCAGAACGAAAAAGCTTAATAGTACAAGAAAACTGAGTGTGGACCATAATGGAGAAATCATAGTAAATCTGTTTAAGTTCAGAGCGATTTTTTAGAAGAAAAAGCCAAGTATAGCAAGAAAAATCATCAACAAAAATCACAAAATATCTAGACCCCCTCCCCCCCATGGTAGGTGTGGGGGAAGGTCTCCAAATATCTGAATGCACAAGATCAAAAGGAGCAGTAGAAATAGAATTACTTTTATTAAAAGGTAATGCAGGTTGTTTAGCAATTTGACAAGATAAACAATCGACATCGTCAAGACAGACACGACCTAACTGACCACTAGAAACTAAATTTTTTAAACGACTAAAAGAGATATGTCCTAAGCGACAATGCTAAAGATGAAAAGGAGACATAGTAGATGTAGTAACAACAGGAGATGATTTGTGCGGACTGCGAAGATAGATAAGCTCGAACAGACGTCCATGCTTACGGTCTATCCCAAGGATCTGTCTCATCTGAGGGTCCTGCACCAGACAACCATAAGCAGAAAAGGTAATAGTTAGGCCAAGGTCACATAACTGACCAACAGAGATAAAGTTCATTTTAATAGAAGGAATATGGTAAGCATCAAAAAGAGACACAGTGGAGGTAGAGATTTGGCCAATATGACTAACAGGCATATGAGAACCATCCGCAGTGACTATAGTGGGAGCAGAAGAGGATGATGACAAAGAAGAAAATAGAATGGAGTCAAAAGTCATGTGATTACAGTATGCGGAATCAAAATACCATGAAGAGTTACCTGAGGTTACTGAAAGAGTAGTAGATGGAGGAGTACCCGATTTGTTGAGCGCCTGGTGGATAATGGACTCAACATCATCCATAGAGAAAGAAGGAGCAGAAGAACCCTCAGAGGCAACAGCAGCAGAGCGAGAACCGTGGTTAAATTTGGACTGAGACCCAGAACGAGAACCCCCTTTCTTAGATGAAGTAGCAGAGGAAGCTCGAGGACAATTGCTTTGGAGATGGCCCAGAGTAGTCTTATGACAAGTCAAGCATTTGCGAACCTGGCAGTGAACAAGAGAATGATTGGCTGGCAGGCTTCGGTTGTGACAATAACTGCATATGAGTGGCTATGAAGATGAGAAACTCTGAGAAGATGGAGTAGCAAGAACAGAATCCATGTCGTGAGATCTGAGACTCCCAAAACGAGTCTCCTCTGATAGGAGCTCAGTAATGGCTTGCTCTAAAGTGGGCAAGGGCAAACGATGAAGCAAGGAAGCACGCACGAGCTCAAAAATGCTATGAAGCGCCATAAGAAACTGTAATAGTCGTTGATGATTCCGATAAGTAATAAATAGTTGGGCATCATCAGAATGAGCCCATGGAGGTTCAGAAAGAGCGAGCTGGTCCCAAATGGACGACATTTGGGATAGGAAGTCATTGAGAGACTGACCGGGTGCTTGGCGCATGTGATGAAGAGTCTGCAACAGTTGATATTGATGAGCATGGCTAGTGGTCTGATAACCTTCCTTCAAAAAATCCTAAATTGCTTTGGCAGGAGAGGCAAGGGAGTCATTGTCCTGAAAGCGGCCAAATTGAAGGTTGATTGAAGGAACTGAGGTAGCCCGGAACCATGTGATAATTTGATAATTCTTACTTTCCCATTCGTCAAGACGGTCATCGAATGCAGAGTCCATCTCATCCTCCTTTGGGTTGGGTTTGGAAAGAGTACCAGTAATAATCTGCCAAAGGCGTTTCCCTTTAATGAAACTAGAGAGAGCTTGAGCCCAACTAACATAATTGGACCCATCAAGGATAACGGAAACAGATTGGATGTTTTCTGTATGATCCATAATAGCCAAAACGGAGGGCACCAACAGATTCAGAAGGCTGGAAAACCGTAAGGACAAGTAGGGCTGATGTCAGCCCGAGGGCTGGATGATGTCAGCAGTGAGAATGTGGCTGATTAGGGCTGATATCAGTGGCTGCGAGAGCTGACGTCAGCAGCTGAGAAAGGAATCAATCAGTTGGGCAAGCCGGGCGGAAGCAGCACGCGGCTAAGAGAAGCCGGACGGAAGCCGATGGGGAGTCGGCTAGGGCAGAAGCCGAAAGTGAGTCGGCTAAGGCAGAAACTGATGGTGAGCCGAGGGCGAAGCTGTTGAAGCGGAAGCCGAGGTCAGAAACGGAAGCCCAGGGGCTAAAGCTGATGGAGGCCGGCTGAGACAACGCGTGCGGAGCATGGTGAGAGTGGGAACGGCGGTGAACGACGCGCCACCCGTTTGGAAGCGCGTGAAGGCTCGTGGATGTACCGATGAGGGCGAGTTTGGTGGCGTTGGCTTCGTCATGAAGAGACGAAGAGGGTGGTATTGTCCACACGTGAAAAGACAGATGAACGAGATACGCAGAAACCAGCAGAAACAGAACCAAGGACAGAAACAAATTGCCAAAAAAAACGTGGGAAAAAAAAAAGGCTAGGAGAGAATCCTAGGCTCTGATACCATGTCATGAAAGTAGTGAGAGAAGAGAAAGAAGAAACTCTATATTGAATTGAATGAATAATACGATAGGAGAAGCCTGTGTATATAGGCAGAAAGTAAACCTAGATAGGTACAGAAAAGATAGAGATAAGCATAGAAGGAGATTGAGATTGAGAGAGATGCAATACAAATAGATAAGATACATCTATAATAATATATAGCTAACAGATATAACTGTATGAATGTCGGTGGATGGAGGTTGTGTCGCTTAATATGGAATAATATTGATTTTCATGTTTGTAAACTCAATTTATTTGGGTTATACATCTTCAAAACTCTTTCAAAACTACATGAAATCAAGTTGTTCCAAAGTGGGTGACATAGGCTATACTTATATGCTTCACATAGTATTTTTTTTGTTTTTTTTATTTATTAAATAATCAGAATATGAACACACAAAGGAAATAAAAATAATATCATGGTTAGTAAAGGCCGATCTGTAATGCCCCCAAAATAATACAATAAAGATAACTCATATGCGGAATAAATATGAGAAAACAACATACTTTCATATATCAGAGTTTACTATTTAACAACCAGTTAAATACCATATAGGCTTACATCTTTCCAAGTCATTGCTTGGTTACACAAATTGAGTCTCAATCATTACATCTTATGCCCTTAGCTTTACAAATAACAAACATACACGCATAAGGCATAATTAAGAAGCTCTTTCTTCCCAAAAGTCCATCCACGCTATTGCCTTGAAGGAAACATTTCACTTGCACCTGAAAATCATATTCTCGTATAGGGTGAGCCAATAGCCTAGTAGAGATAATCTAACACAATATATGAGGTTTAGCAAAGGTATAAATACTACGTACATAAACAATACCGATACTAATACATCCACAAGGCCTACATATTCATATGCCACTAAGACCTAACCTTGTTCCATTTTCCTTCGATTCATTTCTAGTTCATATGTGTTACTCAATTCATGAGTTAAATTCATTATCTTTCAACAACCAAAATGAGGCTACAACTCAATGGTTTTTTTTCAACTATGCAAAACACACACAAACACTTCAAACTTGCCATTTTACGGATATTTCGTCCGAAGGAATCGGCACCCATTAATAAATGAAATTTCAGGTCTTTCACACTCTGGCCAACTTGCTTTAAATGAAGTCCATCCCCTTTCTCCTCCCAAACAAATATACATATGCAATGTATTTATAAACATAATCACATATGAAATACATCCCCTTTCTCTTCCCAATAAATATATATATATATATATACAATGTATTTATAACATGGTCATATTCAATGACACCAACAATGGATTAGCATTAAATCGC